CTTATTTGTTTGTTCTCCCCAAAGGACATATTTCACTCCTCAGGAAATTGTGCAAATTATTCTGTTGTCAGTATGTCAAATTTGCATGGTCTTTAGGCTGAGTTTAAGTTGTATTTCTCTTGATTAAAAGCTTTTGGTTCAAAGCAATACTTTTTAATTGCCTAATGATATAAGTCACTTCTTAGGAAAGAGCCATGCATTTAGGAGTTCATTTGCAATATAACTGAAAAATTCATTGCATGGCAGTAAAACAATTTACTGTTAATTACAAGGAGAAGAATTTGCTGTACCATGCTCACAGATTGCCATGAATCATGCAGCACTCCTAGAGATTTATAACAGATGTGTAAGTGGGATGAATTAGCAGGGTTTAATAACAGAGACACAAATCATGCAGACTTCAAGGAGCTTTAATTGATATACTAGAATGTGACGGGCATGAATCACTCAGCCATTCAACAGCACTGTAACATATGGTCAGCTCAATATGCTGCATCTTAAATCGGTTGGTGAGTTGTTGGTTGTCCCATATGGTGGAAGCAATATATTTTTAAGGACTTTTTTTTTTTAAAAAAACAACACCATTACATTGATTTTTTTAAAAAAAGAAATATGATTCAATATGCTCATCATCAGGTGAACTCTTAAAACTTGTTATGTTTGTTTGAGGCATATGATATACAATTTTCATACACAGATTTTCTCAAAAAGCTGATTGAAAAGTTGGGTTTCCAATGGAAACATGTAGTTTGAATCATCATATGTGTAGATATACAGTACAATTGCCTTACCCAAAGATGGTGCCTTTATTTACAAATATCCCAAGCAACCTGCTACCCTACTAGATCCCAGTTCCTTGCTAGCACTTCATCTAAACTCACCTGTGCCTTCTCTAATCGAAGACTTAGTATCATGAAGGAGTGCCAGAGAGAAGAGCTAACAAGGAATACATATGCACCATGGCAGGAATCTAAATGCTTAAGCACTGCTGCAGAAATTGGACTTAATTTTCTAATATATATATATCTCCCTTTCACTCATATAACTTTTTAATGAATGCTTACTGTTGTGTTGCAGCATTTATGTTAGTATTTTATTGTGGTCTTTCAATTTATTTTAGGTTTTTTTTAAAAAAACCCTCTATTGTTTTAAGCCATTCTATAAAATCTAAATATGACTATTACAATGTCATATTTTAAATACAGTGCAACCACAATTTCAGATTAAGGGAAAAGGTTTCTTTTAAATTGAAATCTGTTAAATCTGGGTCCTTTAAATTGATATTTTACTGGAAATGTACAGATGACTCTGTTGCTAACTAACATTTTCTTGTCTCAAATGCTGAACCCAATCTATACAGTCAGGCCTAATGATCAACCTCCCTAGGTTAATGTGAAGTCAGATGGGATGACGGAGACCTTACATTGCTGAAAACATTCCTGGGATATAACAATAGTCAAGTCTCTAGAGTGAATGAGTGATCTTCCACTCTCTGGGCAAGCCTCCAATTACACATTTGCTTACAAAGTGAAATTGTGCATGAGACACAAATGCTGTTTTTAAAAATGGATAACCCTACATGTCACTATTCAAAAGGTTGAAATTGTAATGAGCAGTTGGCAAAGCATAAATGAGACTGTATCTTCATGAATATTACTCAAGGTTCTACCAGAAATGTAGCTATTTAGAAATTTGATGAAAGAGGAAACCTTAAGAAGCATATTTTTTGAGATAAAGCCAAAAGCACTAAGTGCTACCTGTATAATATTTCACTGAGGGGCTCCTTTTAGTATAAATGCATGAAAGAGAAGTAGACCAGTAAAGGTTTAGTAACTCTGATACAGATGCATTTTTATTAGCTTTAGAACCTGACATGGTATAGGAAAGCTTTAGCAGCTGCATTAGTAAACCTGACAGATTTGCGAAAAGAATTCACTATCCTTAGAAGCACGGTTGCCAGAATTTAATGTCAACAATTAAAATTTATTTTGATCCTCACCTAGTGTTTATTACTGTTTGTATACACAACAGACCTTACTAATACAGTGATGCACTATTAGATGGAATTACCATCTGTTCACAGTGAAATGCTGGCATCTGTCTTAGTTTCTAAAGCTAAAATGATATTGGTTCAAACAAAACAAAGTTAACTGCTCTTTACTTACCAACAATTATATTTTTCTTTCATGCATGCAGATATAACGCATGCACACAGAGACCTGCACGCAGACAAATTCATGGAAGACTTTATCTTTTTCTTTAATACCAAGCCATATAATGTTATCTATACTTGATGTATCTTTAATATGAAACTCTATGGATTGTCTGTTCCTTTGATTTTTTGGTGCCTTCTTAACATGGTGCCAGACAATGTAATAAGTGTTTAAATGTTTGAATGTTTTAGTTTATGAATGATATTCTTTTACTGAAGAAATTTTTAAAATCTGACATATTTAAAGTATGCAAAATATAATTCAGTCAGCTAAAATACAGAATGCTTTTATAGATGACTTTTAAAAGACTAGAACAAAATTTATTAAATAAATTTATTTATTATTTAAAACATAAATAAAATGATAATTCCAACAGGTACCACAGTCACAGCTTTAGGAAACAGATATTGTGGCTGTTAGCTTCTATTATCTATATTGCATATACAGCGATGTGGACATACATGTGATATATTTATTATCTAAATGTCCCCCACCATCTGATTTGTTGGTGTGTACGTTTCAGAAGAATTCTTCATATGTGAGGACATATAAATTGTGAATTATCAAGGACATGATAGTTAAAATTCTAATCTTAAACCAAAGGTGTTGCTTTCTGACATATTAGATTTCTATTTCATATATTACAAAATAATGCACTGCGTAATGCTAGTGTTTAATGTCTGTACCACAGTGCATTAACTGTAACTAGTACATTTATTTGTGCTAGAGTAGACTTGAAAATGATTAAAAAATCAATATTTTCCTGTCAAGGAAGTAAATGTTACAATGCATTTAAATAATTAAGCGCACAAGTGCCATAAAAGCTTCAAATTTGGATAGGGAAGATGCTATAATTACAGTATAGGCAATTCCAATTTATTATGGGAATATGTTTAAGGAATATTTGCTGTTTGTTCTAAAGGGGGCCATGTGTGTTCATTTTAAGCAATAATGAAATTTAGTGCTTCTGTTTTAGTAGTTTGAAGCTGAATTGGAATATTAAATCCTGCCACATTTACATTTAAAATGCTGACATAGCTGAATAACTCCAAAGGTGAAATTCCAATTGTAAAGCCCATGTTTTCTTTTGAAACCTGTGCATTAATGCTGCATTTCATTAATGCTCAGTGCTACTTATGTGGGGAAGCTTGTAACCTCACATGCCAGAACTTCAATTTCGACACAGTAAATTTTGAACATAGCAGTATGATACTAATTAGATTATGAAGTCATAAATGATATCCGAGCAAGAATTTACAATGCACGGCATGGTTAGTAAGTTTTTGTCTCCCATCATTTCCTTTGCCTTAAAGAAATCTTTGATCACACTGTAGAAAAAGTAATAGCAGCACATTAGAGGATGATACAAAAAAATTGAAAGATATGCCAACGGTTTTGTATACCAAATTCTTTAAAGATGTATTATTAATTTATTATGGACAAAGACCTTGCTGTGAACTCTTAGCACAATGGCCTGAATGAATTTACAGGATGCATATTTTACTTCATATTATTCTGTAAATGAATTATGTGCTGTATGATAACAGAAGCACCTGACTTTGATATATGTGGCATAGTTTAAGATTCCTCATGCAGAAAACACGATTGCGGAGTAGATTTACAAAGTAATACTTGCTTGGGATTCACAACGGAAGAAAGGAACATAATGGATTCACTATAAAAAGTACTATTGTATGTTGCAATTAACCATCTAATCGTTAGCATAACGTGCCACACCCAGTTGCAGAAAGCTTCATTCTGTTTGTAAGTCTTGAAAGATTGTATATTGTATTGTATAGAGAATGTGACTAACGACATTATGTTCATAAAATCTATAAAAATTTGCTCACCAAAATAGGAAAATACTTATTTTGCTCCTATAGCAAGCTTTTACCGTATATGCCGTCCAGAAAACTAATAGACAAAGCACATTGATAGATGATTTCCAGACATGGCACAATGATTCTTCATAACATGCATATATGCGTGTACATGCAAAAGTATTATGTGGCACGTGGGTTATGATCCTTCCCAGGGCAGTTGCAGTACTAGTGAAGAATTATCCATCAGATCAGCTTAGATTTTCAGTTTCCCACATTGGTGTTTATTCATTATCATGACTGCAGATGATGTAATTTGCCATTTAAGGAGTGGAAAGTCTGTGCAAGTCTTACAGATCTTTTCATTTTAGCCAAGGTATATGAGCATTGCATATTTGAAAGCCTGGCAAATGCTATATATTGATAGTAAATCCTAGTATGTACATTTTTTGCGTATATAAAAGCTGCTTATGGTGGAGTTTCTATCTCCAGAATTCACGTGAACCGGCTCAGTTGTTTTTTTTTTACTCAGTTCAAGATGGCTCTATTGTGCTCTAACAAAGGTATAAAAAAAGTCAATGTCAAGTCAATAGACATCTCGTATTTGTGATTCTGTTCTGCAGATAGCATTGTATCTTCTTGTTCAAAAGAATTATTTGAACTTGTGCCATAATGTTTGCATTGTTTTTATGATATTAACGTGAAAATACTTTGTGAACGGAAAAAGTAAAAAGCTAGAAGCACTGCTTAGTCAAACAAGGAATTGGCAGATTGTATTTTTGCATTTTTAACAAGTTAAAGATTATTATGTACGGTGGAGTGGCTGCATAAAAATCTAAGGCAGTTTGCAAGCTATATTGTTGTAAATAGTTCCTTTGGTGATGGTTTTAGTAAATATTTATAAAATATAAGAAACAAAGAATTAAACCTGTCTTTTTTTCCCCCCTTTTCTTTTTTATACAAATAGCTCCAATTCAGCTAATTGCCCCTGACACTGAAGGAATAAACAGCACTGTAATAAAGATAACTTGGTATGAGCCTGAAGAACTTAATGGACCTCCTCCAGTTTATCAGCTGGAAAGAATAGATATATCTTTAATAACATCAGATGTAAATGTAAAGAAAGGAACCCGTTTCCCAGGAAATGGGTATTACAAGTTTCCAAATTCTACTTTGCCTGCAAACACCTATTTTACAGGTAAGGAAATTATCTATACTGTGTTTACTGCAAAAGGGTTTGGAGTACATATTGATGGATTTTTTCCTATGGATGGATTTCCTCTGAATTTATTATTTTACTTTCTACAGTTTCCTCACATTATTCTTTAAAATTCCACTATTTTCTGAAAATCCCTTCTGTATGATAATTTGTAGTGTGATAAAACAGGGCATTGCTTATTCGGCAAGGAAAAGCAAGTACTCTTCATAAGGCTTTTCTGGGATCCTGTGACATTTGATTGCGCGTGATATTTCTGTAAGTTCACATCACAGCTCATGCAAGGGATTATGGGAATTTTAGGACAGCAGTGTTTAGGGAGACTTGTTTCTAATTCTGTCCCAGCAGGCAAGTCTCTAGTCAGCATTTCATCCTTTTGCCAGGATACTGAAATGCTATTTACCCTGGCATGTATTTTTCTTTCTTTATATACTTTGATAGTATTCCATGGATCACAGGAATCATAGTATGCTTATTTTTTAATTGAATTGGCAGGAGGTTGCATGCTGATTTTGACATTTTTTAAATGCATACTTTGCACTCTTGAGGGATCATACTAACATGCTAGTGTTTCAGTATCCCTCTTTAGGGAGTTCACTATTAGATTCCATGAAATATTACATGAAGCTTCTGAATTCATTCTTTTTCCAGTTTATTGTGAGAAAAGGTATGTCTCAACTGGGCTAAGTATAGAAACATTTGTAGGTGGCCATTCTATCATCCCTTACCTGGCATTCAGTCCCACAGAACAAAACATGAATAAACATGCAAATCATAGAATAATTCATTTCAGGAAAGCCTTTCCTTTTAATCAAAAGGCATCTTTGTAAAATATTTCATGATTGTCCTCACATCACATTTTTCCCTTGATTTTGTGCTTGCTAAACTAGAAATGGTGTCCTCAGTCATGCTCCCAAACCAGCCTACATACTCTCATTAGTAAACCTGGTAAGGTGAAATTTCAGGGTTGTACTGGTCTGCAGTGCTTTTCAAGAGGGGCTCAAAACTGCTGATTTGAAACATAGCTTTTCTGCTTATTTTTAAGAACATCACACTCCTCAGTTGCCATCATTATTTATTTGTTTGTTTGTTTTTTATTTATTTATTTATTAAATTTTTCAACCGCCCATCTCCCCTCAATGGGGGAACTCTGGGCGATTCACAAGAAACATTAAAAACATAAAATATATAAATACATAAAACCTTAATTAAAAACATTACTAAAAA